CTTGCCCAGGAGCTGCGTGTCCCGCGGCCGCTGGTCCGCGTAGCCGATGGCCAGCGTCTCCTCGGGCCGGAGCTCGCGGCGCGCGGCCTTGCGCACGTCCGCGGGCAGCGCGTGGCCCGACGGCCCGCCGAGCGCGGCGACGACGTTGCCCTGGCTCCGGCTCACGATGCCGCCCTCGGTCCACGTGCAGATCTCGCAGACCTCGTAGCAGGGGCTCAGCGACCGCACCTTGAGCTCGCGGCCGGGCCGCGGGATCGGCGGCGGCGGCGCCCGGGGCCTCGGCTTCGGCGGTGGGGGCGCCGCGGCCTCGCGCGGCGACGGCGCCGCGGGCGCGCGGCGGACGCGCGCCTCGTAGCTCTTGGGCTCCAGGAAGCCCTTCCTCGCGCCGAAGAGGCCGCCGCTGCCCGTGTCCCGGGGCTTCGGCGGCGGCGCGGCGTAGGGATCCTCGACGGGCAGCTCCTCGACGTTGCCCCAGCCGAGCGTCGGATCCTCCGCCTTCGTCGCGCGCGGCTTCGGGACCGGCGCGGGCTTCTTCGCGACGCGCGCGGGCTTGGGCCGCGCGGCCGTCGGGTCGTGGGGCGCGCGCCGGGGCCGCGTCTTCGCGTTCGCGAGGAAGCCCCGGCGGAAGGGCGCCTCCGCCGCGCCGTCGGCGCGGGGCGGCGGGACGACGCGCGGCGTCACGCGCGCGATCTTCGACCGCGCCTCGAGGCGGTGCGCGGCGACGTTGATCTTCGCGACCCAGTCGTCGTCGAGGGCCTTGGCGTCGGCGTGCTTGTGGGCCTTGAGGCCCTCGACGGCGGCCTTGACCTCCAGCAGCCGCGCGCGGAGCCAGAGGAGGCGCTGCCAGCCGCCGGCCTCGTGGCCCGCGGGCGCGACGAGCGCCGCGTCGGCCGCGAGCCCCGCGAGGGCGCCGCAGTTGCCGTAGGGCGCCTCGTTGACGACCGCGAGGAGCGCCGCGGCCTCGGCGTAGATCTCCGACGCCTCGCCCTCGCGGGCCCACGTCGTGTCGCCGTGGTTCGCCAAACCCAGCGCGCAGCACGCGAGCATCATGGGCCGCCGGTCGGGAAAGTACTCGCCCATGGGGTCGTCGTCGCCGTCGTCCTTCTCCGCCTTGCCGAAGGACGCGACCATGCCCCGGCCCCGCGACCAGTCCTCGCGCGACAGGTGCTTGTACTGCCGGAGCCACCTGTAGTGCTTCCAGTAGGCCGCGTACCACTGCGTCTGCGACGCGCGCGGCCGGAAGTGGCGCGCGAGCCAGTCGTTGGAGCACCAGTCGCGGATGGGCCGCGCGTCGAGCACGACGCGCCGCTCGAGCTGGACCATGAACGCGACGACGTCCTCGTACTTGGCGTCGACGGCGCCGCCGTCGGCCTCGCGGCTCGCCTCGGCGAGCCGCATCATCGTCGTCACGAGGCGGTCCTTGCTCTGCGCGTGGTCCCACTGGAGCACCTCGTAGACCTGCTTCCGCGTCCGTAAGATCCGCACGAGCAGGCTCCGGTCCTGGTTCGTGCAGGCGATGCCGTCGGCGCGGTCGAGGTCCGCCTCGACGTCCGCGAGCAGCGCGAGCGCGGGCGCCTGGTCGACGGTGCCCGGCGGCAGGCCGCGCGCGCGCATGAGGCCCCACTTCTTGTCGGCCCGGCCGAGACGCACGCGGCAGCTCGCGCGGAGCTCGCAGAACTGGGCGACGCTCTGCTCGAACTTGGAGTCGCAGAGGCGCGGCTCCAGCGCGTCGAGCGCGTCCGAGGCCAGGGCCTCCCACTCGTCGAGGAGCGCCTTCTCCGACGTCGGATAGATGGGATAGCCCCGCTTGTCCGTCACCAGGCCCGCGAGCTCCTTCTTGATCTCGACGATGCGGTCGAGCGACGCGCCCAACGTCGCGAGGAAGGCGGCCTCCTCTTCCTCCGCCGCGTCATCCTCCTCGCAGACCTTGGTCCAGTCGCGCGTGCTGAAGGGCGCCGGACCGCTCATCGTCGAGGCAGCCTCTGCTCGGCGAGGTGCAATGATCCAACCTTGAAGTTTATGAATCCCACTCGGCCGCGGCGCCGTCGAACGAAATCCCACTCGGCGCCGTCGTACGAAAGACGAGCATTACCCGTCGCGGTTGAGCGCGTTGATGCGCTTCGGGTCCTGGTTGGACGTGTGGCTGCCGTGGCCGAGGCGGCCGTGGCCGCCGTTGCCCGCGGAGTGGACGTCGCCGTCGTCCGTGAGGACGAGGTAGTGCTCGTCGGAGCAGGCGGCGGCGACGGCGGGCGCCGGCAGCGCCAGTCTCCGGCGCGAGAAGGCGCCCGTGCCGTCGCGGCAGAGCTGGTGCGCCGCGCCGTCGACGATGACGACCGCGGCCGCGAGGCCGCCGCCGACGGCGAGCGCGTCGGGCCGCGACGCCCGCGGCGCGGCGTCGCCGTCGCCGTCGCCGCCGCTCTCGTCGCCGTCGTCGTCGAGGGCGTCCAGGGACCCGAGCGACGACCGGTAGGACGACGCCGACGACGCGCGGCGCCGCCGCCGCGGCGCGTCGGGCAGCGCGCGCGGGCACGCCGTCGGCAGCCGCCAGCACAACAAGCCGTCCGTCTCCGCCTCCACGAAGTCCGTGACGTAGCTCAACCCGTTCTCCGCCCCGAACCAGAAGAGCTCCGGCGCCTCCGTGACGACGCAGGAGCACTCCGCGCCGCAGCCCACGTGCGTGGCGCGCGTCCCCGCGAGCGCGGAGATCAGCGTCGGCTCGGCCTTGCCCGCGTCGTCGCCGTGGCCGAGGCGGCCGCCGTCGCCGTCGCCCCAGGAGAAGACGCGGCCCTCGGCGTCGAGCGCCAGCGAGTGGGCGCCGCAGGCGGCGACCTTGACGATGACCGCGTCGTCGGCGAGGCGCCAGAGCAGCGTCGGCGCCTGTGTGGAATTCAACCACTGGTTTGGGTGGTCCTGACCAAACTTGAGAATTCTCTAGCTCGGTCAAATCGAAGTCGATTCGGCTGATTTTTGGACGAATCGATTGCTTTCATCGAGTTCTCGAAGCACGGTCGAAGAGATTGCGTCGAAACGGTCGCATACGCGCACATTGAAGTCGGGTTGAAGATTTGATTTCCACACAGGTCGGCGCGGTGATCGGCCCGGCGCCCGCGGCCTCGTTCTCGTAGGCGCCCCCGCCGACGTACCTCAGCGACGGCCCGACGCCCGCGCGGCTCGCGGACCCGGACGCGCGCACGCGGCCGTCGGAGGCGAGGAAGAGCGTGTGCTCGTCGCCCGCGGCGACCTCGACGCACCGCTGGCCCCTCCCGCAGAAGAGCTGGTCCACGAGCCGCGGCGCGGCGGTCCGCGGCTCCGCGGTGCGCGCCCGGGGCCCCGCCCGCTCCCGGGGCGCGCCGCCGTGGCCGAGCTGGCCCACCTCGTCGCTGCCCCAGGTGTAGGCCCGCCCTAAGACGTCCAGCGCGACGGAGTGGCGGTGCGCCGCGGCGACCTGCGCGACGCGCACCCGCGACGGCAGCTCCACGGGCCGCGGCGTGCAGGCGCTCAGCCAGGAGCCGCCGAGCCCCAGGCGCCCGTGGGCGCCGTGGCCGAAGCTCCAGACGCGGCCGCGCGCGTCCGCGACGACGGAGTGCAACGGGCCCGCGGCGAGCGCGCGGCCCCTCCGCACGGCCTCGCGCCGGCTCAAGAGGCAGAGGCAGAGGTAGGCGTGGCTCTGGGGCTCGTCGTCCCGCACCACCGTCGGCCCGCAGCCCGCGCGGCCCGGCCGCGGCTCCTGGAGGCGCAGCGCGATGATCTCGCAGGCGCCGCGGCCCGCGCGCGACATCATCTCGACGCGGCCCATCTGGAAGACGTCGACGAAGGGCAAAATGAGGTCCGCGAGGTACGTCTCGTTGGCGACGACGAGCGCCATCGTTGGCAGCCCAGGGACCCGAAGTGTCCTTGGGGTGGCGCCTCACTTCGAACACACTGCCGTGGCCGAAGACGGCACCGAATTTGGGGCAGCATCCGAGGGCAAACGTCAGCCTCGCCGAGAAATTAGACGCGCGGCCGCCAGCCGAGTCGCCTAGTGCGCCGCGCGCCGCGCGCCGCCACGCCGCCATGGGCCGGGGCGGCAAGGTCTTCAAGGTGCGGACGATCCGCGAGTACGACGTCGCCGTCGCCCACAGCGCGGGCCGCGTCGTCGTGCTCCTGGCGACGCGGACGACGCTCATGCACTGCTGCAACTTCGAGGACACGTTCAAGGGCCTGAGCGACAAGTTCCCCGACGTGACCTTCTGCCGCGTCGCCTGGGAGGAGTGCGAGTACAGCCTCGTCGAGCAGCGCTTCAAGGGCGAGACGGTCCGGGGCATCGAGACGTTTCCCTACTGTCGGTTCTTCCTCGACGGCCGCCAGCAGGACTGGTGGGAGGGCGAGGACGCGTCGGCCTACGTGACCAAGATCGAGAACTTGAGGCGGCGGCTGTCGGACGTGCGGCAGCGGGCGTCCGACGTCGCCGAGGAGGCCGCGAAGCCCGCGGCGCTCCCGCCGCCGCCGCCGGCCGAGAAAGAGAAGAAAACAAAGAAGAAGAAGGACGCCTACGCCGTCGTGCTCGAGTTCAAGGGCGGCGGCCGCCGGGACTGCACGCTGCGCATCGGCGTGCCCAGGAAGTGGCGCGCGGGCCCCGTGTCCGCGCTCGTCGAAGCGTTCGCCGACCGGTTCAACGACACGCGCGTCGGCGTGAAGCCCCTGGCGGCGGACCTGCTGCGGGCGTCGACGCGGCGCGCGGAGGGGCCCGCCGTCGCGGTCGCGGCCGACGCCGTCGTCGAGGACGCGTTCGCGGGCGCGGCGAAGGACGCGTCCGGCGCGTTTTACTTGGACCTGGAGGAGGTCGCGGCCGCGGGCCCGAGCGCGGGCGACCTCGTCCTGCGCGAGATTTTGGCGACGCGGGGCGCCCACGCGCCGAAGAAGCACCGCGAGGGCGCCGTCGCCGGCGGCTTCATCCTGGACAAGATCCGGCGGAACAACCCGGAGGCCGCGCGCGCGGCCGACGAGCTCCTCGCGCTCAACGAGGAGCTGCGCGCTTTGCGCCTGACGGCGCGGGCCGCGGGCGAGGAGCTCGTGGCGGCGCAGGAGCAGGCGAGCCCCGGCGCGCTGCGGGACGCGACGGCGCCGACGCCGGAGATGGCGCGCGTGTTGCAGGAGGTCGTGCAGCTGCTCCAGTCCAAGGACGGCGACCCGCGGGCCAACGCGATCAACGCCGCGGAGATTCTGGAGCACGAGGGCGCGCGCTACGGCGGCGTGACGAACGTCGAGCTCCACGCGCTCGCGGCGTCGTGCGACGAGCGCCTCGGCCGCGACACGGACGCGCGCGGCCACCTCGAGCGCGCGCGGGACCTGCTGGGCAGCGCCGACGAGGCGCGCTACCCGCAGCAGGTCAAGGCCTGGGCCGCCGTGTCGTCGCGGCTCCTCCAGCTCGAGACGCGCGCCGTGCAGCAGCGCGGCGACGAGAGCCGCGCGGGCGAGGCCGTGCGCATCTCCAAGGCCCTGACGGCGATGGAGAAGTGGGAGCCGACGCGCTGGCTCGGCCACGCCGAGGTCGCCAAGGCCGTCAACGACCCCGTCGAGGCCGAGGAGGCGTACCGCGCGGCGCTCGACCGCGACGCGTCGCTGCGCCGCGCGTATTTCGGCCTCTGCCAGGTCCTGGAGCAGTCCCAGGACAAGGGCTACAAGAAGCGCGTGCGCGACGTCGCGAAGCGCGCCGTGAAGAACGACGTCTGGCTCCGCGTGAACCAGCGGCCGTCCCAGTTCTCGCCGAAACTCGCGGCGCAGCAGTTCTGGGTCGCGAAGCGCGCGTCGGACGCCCTGAAGGACGCCGACGACGCGGGCGAGGCCGACGACGTCGTCCACGCGCCGGGCGCGCTCGAGCTCGACCTCGTCTTCGGCTTCGCGACGAACCTGGAGCGGGCCTGGGCCGGGTCCAAGGCGGACTTCGACATGTCGGTCCGCAACGCCGACGGCCACCACGACATCTACTGCAGCCCCATGACGGACGCGCGCTGGACCCACCGCAAGGAGAAGGAGGCGCTGCGGTCCATCGCGCCCCTCTTCACGCAGGGCCAGAAGATCGCGCCCATGTGCGCGCGGTTCCCGCGCGCCGCGCAGGCCGTCGAGGAGTGGCGCGAGGCCATCCAGGCCGCGGGCTGCGGCGTCGCCGAGGCCTACCTGACGGTGCTGAAGCCCGGGGCCCGCGAGCCGGCGCACTGCGGGCCGTCGAACTGCGTGCTCACGGCCCAGCTCGCCGTCAAGTGCCCGGACGGCGGCGTCGCGGTGACGCGGTGCGGCGACCGGACGGAGTCGCTCAAGGAGGGCGAGTGCGTCGTCCTCGACGACTCCTTCGAGCACGAGCGGCGCAACAACGCCAAGCCCGGCGGCGACGACCTCGTGCTCCTCATCGTCCAGTTCTGGCACCCGGGCGTGCCGCCCGAGTTCCGCAGCCCGGACGGCCTCCAGTTCTTCGCGCCCTAGGCGGCGCGGGGCCTCCTCTAACGTACCGGACGGCTAGGCGGACGCCTACAGGCGGCCCGCCGCGGCTATCTCAAATGGCCTCGTTCGAGCTGCACCGATGTGGTCGCCCCGCGCCTCACGTCGGCTGCATCGCGCGCGATGCAGCGTGATTGCAGCAGCCCCTCGGTTCCGGGAGCGAAACATGAAAATCAGTGAACGGCATGCTCGTCTTCAACGACACCACAACCGCCAAGCGCGCGCCCCCTTCGATAACCGTGACTCGTCCAACCGACCGTCCAAGAGTGGGGGGCGTGAGACCTTAGGGCAATGGACAGGGTTCTTCCGGCCGAGGGCGCGAACCGGTTTTTGGCGGTCCGACAGCGGACTCGTCGGCCGAGGCGCACGGTGCGGGGGGCTTGCGTCTTTCGCGGGTGACAGGTGAAGTCGCGGCGGGCATCCAATGCCGGCGCCTACTTCCAGAGCTCGTGCTCCTCCGCGAAGGCCTCCTCGTCCTCGTCGAGCTCGAGGCCCTTCTTGATCATGTCCTTGACCTTCTTGATCATGTTCTTGACCTCCTTCTTCGAGAGCGTCTTCTTCTGCTTCACCTCCGTGACGTTGCCGAACTGGTCCGTGACCTCCGTGATGGCGTGCTGGTCGTCGCACTTCGTCGCGAGGGCGTTCTTCATCCACTCCGGGTCGCCCTGGCAGTTGGGGCGCGAGATGCCGTCCTCGTCCTTCTCGACGACCCACGTCTCGGGGCACAAGGCCGTCGTGAAGTCGTTGTTGTGCGAGATGATGACGACGCCGCCCTCGAAGTCGCGGATCGCGTCGGCGAGCGCGCCGAGGGACTCGCGGTCCAGATAATTCGTCGGCTCGTCGAGGATGACGATGTGGGGCTGCATCCACATGGCCGCGCCGAGCACGACCTTGACCTTCTGGCCGCCGGAGAGCGCGGAGATGCGGTGGTGCGTCGCGAATTCCGCCTCCAGCCCCACGTTCTTGAGGTGCGTCTCGACGTTGGCCTGCGTCAGCGGGCGGAACATGCCCGACGCGGCCTGCGCGACCTTGACGTCGACTTTTTTGGCCGCCTTCTCCCAGCCGTACTTGATGAGCTTCTTCAGCCCGAAGTAGACCTTGTGGTCCTCGCCGTCGTAGGGCGCCTTCCACTGGACCTCGTAGTCGTTCTCCTTGGTCGACTTATTGGTCTTGCGCTCGCCCGTGAGCCGCGCGATGACGCGCTTCGACTTCGTCTGTTTTAGAGTCTCCGGGTCCGTGACGACGTACTCGATCTGCTGCTTCTGCGCGGCCTCCTCCTTCTCGCTGAGCTGCATGGTATCTTTCGCGATGGCCTCCTTGTCGTCGCCGCCGGCGTAGCGCCAGCGGATGTACTCGTTGGGCGTCTTGTTGAGGTGGCTCTCGATGTGGTGAAAAGCGTGCTGCGCGATGTAGCCGATGCGCGCGTTCGGGTGCGCCCAGACCGTGCCCGTGCAGGGCTCGACCTCGCCCGTCAAATTCTTGATGAGCGTCGACTTGCCCGCGCCGTTGGGGCCCACGCAGGCCACGCGCGACGACAGCGAGACCTGCACCGTCGCCTTCTCGATGATGTTCTTCTCCGACGTCGGGTATTTGAAGGACACGTCGACGACCTTGATGAGGGCCTTGCCCTTGGACTTGACGCCCTCGATGGGGCCGGGCTTCGGGAAGGAGAACTTGAGCTTGTTCGATTTCAATTCGAAGTACGCGCGCGCCTCCGGGTGCACCTTGACGAACGCCGACAAGTTCCCCCGGAAGCACGACAGCTTCAGGTCCTTGATCTCCAGGATGTGGTTGCAGACGTCGTTGAGCAGGCCCGAGTCGTGGGACACCATGATGGCCGTGACGTTCGTCAGGCCCTTGATGTAGTCCTTGACCCACTTCACGTTCATGACGTCCAAATGGTTCGTCGGCTCGTCCATCAGCAGAATGTCCGCGTCCTGGAGCATGGCCCGCGCGAGGGCGAGCTTCATGCGCCAGCCGCCGGAGAGGGTCGTCACGGCGTCCGTGAGCATCTTCTTCGAGAAGCCGACCTTGAGCATGATCGCGGAGACGTCTTCCCGCGACGCGCCGCACGCCTGGATCCGCGCGTCGTTGAAGATGTAGTCGAGGCAGGCGTAGTGGCTGAGCTCGCCCATGATGTCGGCCTCGACGAAGACGGTCTTGACCTCGTCCGCGGGCGGGAAGCCCTCGAGCTGCCCGTTCGCGATGGACCGCATCAACGTCGTCTTGCCGCAGTCGTTGCCGCCGAGGAGGCCGTACTTGTGGCCGCGCTTGAGCTTCATCTGCGTGTTGTGGAGGAGGATCTTCGTGCCGTAGGCCAGCGTGAACTTGCAGTCGCAGAGCTGCTCCGCCGTGTCCTCCTCTTCTTCCTCCTCCTCGACGACCATCATCGCCGCCGCGGCGTCCATGGCCGCGGCCGCGGCGGCCTCGCCGCCGGGGAGGCACCAGGCGACGGCCTTGGGGGCCTTGGCCCACTCGGCGCCGGCGAAGCAGCGCCGCGACGCCAGCGCGTTGCAGACGTCGAGCACGTAGGCCTTGGCGACGGCCGCGTCGCCGGCCGCGGCGCCGACCTTGGACCCAAAGGCCTCGGCGACCTTGGTCTCGACCTCGGCGCCCTTGGCCAGGCCGGAGCACTTGGCCTCGAGGCGCTTCATGAGCTCCACCGACCGCTCGCAGACCTCGCGCGCCTCCGGATCCGACATCTCGTCCGCCAACTTCACCAAGCCCGGCAAGAGCTTGGGCAGGAAGGGCGCGGCGTCGCGGGCGTCGTCGACGAGCTTCGACATGTTGCAGATGATGAGCGCCGCCTGGCGCTTGAGCGCCGTCGCGCCCGCGCCGCGCTCGCCGAGCGCGCGCGACAGCAGCGGCACGACGACGGCGAGCGTCGGCGCGTCCACGGACTGCACGAAGGTCGTCGCGGCCAAGGAGTGGACGCACTCGGGCACCTCCTTGGGCCGCACGGCGGCGGAGATGAGCTTGGGGAGCACGGGCTCGACGTCGCGGTTGCCGCACAAACCGAAGCACGCCGTCATCGCGGCCTTGGCCGCGGCCGCGACCTCCTTCTTCGTGTCCCAGAGGCAGGGCGTGACCTCGGGCACGACGCCGGGGAGGCATGCCGCGACCTGCTTCGGGGCCAGGGCGCAGAGCGCCGTGAGGCGCTCGAGCGCCGCGACGCGCGCGGGCCACTGCTGCTCGACCGCCATGGCCTTGAAGAGGCAGGGGAGCTCGAGGGGCGCGGCCTCGGCGGGGAGCACGGGCACGCAGGCGGCCAACGCGGCCTTGGCCGCGGCCTTGACGGGGCCCTTCTTCGAGCCGCACGCCTCGAGGACGGCCGCGTAGTTGGCGAGGATCCACGGCGCGAGCTTCGCGTCCGCGACCTCGCTCAGGAGCCAGAAGGCGGCGTCGTCGGGGGTCGCGAAGGCCTTGGCGAGGGCCGCGGCGGCCTTGGGCGCGTCGCCCTTGACCTTCTTGGCCTCGGCGACGACGGCGGCCGGCGGCCCGGCGGGCTTCTTGTCGCCCGCCGGCTTCTTGCCCGCCGGAGCGGGCTTAGACACATTGGGTTTGCCGATGCTGGAGGACATGGTGGTGGTGAAAGGTGGAGGGGCGGTCGAACGGCGGGAGCCTACGGTGAATGTGGGTTCTGCAAAAAGGATATCCGTCAGCCGGCGGCGGAAACTCGGACGCGCGGAGGTTCGGGGTGGCGGGGCCGCGGGCGCGGGCGGCGCGGCCACCGCGGCGGAGTCGGGGGTGCGGGCCGGGCGGGTGGTGGGGGCCGCGGGCGGGGCGCGTGCCCGGGCCGCGGGCCTCGTTTGGCCTCGGCGAGTTGCCGCTCGCGGATTTCGGCGACGGGGGCCGGGAAACTCGGGGCGCCGGGTCTTCGGGGTGTGGCGGCGGGTCTGGAGGGCGCTGGGGCGGGGGCGAGAGGGTCGGGGACGCGCGCGCACCTAGGAAGCTGGTTGATGAGCTCGGAACACACGGCCGGGCACGAGCTGAGATCTTGGTGGCTCTGGGCGCTCCGGATCGATCAAGAATTCTTCGATCGATCGGCTCGCTGCGCGTCGACTCAGACATGTGCTGCGGCCTGCCCACGATGACGGCGTCCGTGCGATGTGGAAGGCGCTCGCCCGCGACGGAAGCCGCTCGCCGGCGGTCCGTCGCGAGCCCCGCCCGGCGCCGCCGCGCGCCTGGGGCGTCCCCCTCGTGTCCGGAGTGCGCCCGGAGCCGTCCGCTTCTGCCAGGTGTCAAAGTTGCACGTAGCGTCCAAACTTGAGGTGGGTTGACACCTGCCCGAAACTATTGAGCACGGGCAGCTTGCGCCGCGTGGCCCGACGATGCGTCGCGTGCAGGCCTGGCCTGAGCGGCGCGAGCGCCCCACGGCGCGAAATGCTAGCCGGCATCGCCCGGCGGCGCTGCCTCGAGCACAGGCCCAAGCGGCCCTCGAGGAGGGCTGCCCCTCATTTGTTGTAGCATGGGGCAGCTCTGTCGCGCGCACGGCCGCGCGTCCGACACCTGCCGCCCGCTCAAAGACGCACGAGCCGCGCGCCGCGCCCAACACCCGGAACGGACGGATTCGACCGCCCGAAACCGCCGCGGCGGCCGCGGACCGCGCGCGGTCGCCGGGGCCGGCGGCTCGAGCCGCGGCCGCTCCGGGCGGGCCGGGCGGACGCGGCCCGACGCGCGCGCCACCGATCGCCGAGCCTGCCCGTGGACCGCCGACCGCGCGCGCTCGGGGCGCGGCGCGCAATCGGGGGCGGCGCGTCGAGAGCTCCCCTCCGCGACGTCGTCCCCTCCGAGTCCGGGAGAACGCGGCTACACCTCCCGTTAGCGGGTTTGCGGCGCGGCCGCGCGCGCGAGTCGGGAGTGCGGTGGGACCTCGGGCGCGGCCGCCCTGGGGGCGGCCGCGGGGTGGTGGGGC